CATTTTTTATTAATCCTGATCCTTCTTTTCTTTCTTCTGAATACAAGGTGGTTGTGAATGCACTCATAGGAGCAATTCCTTCCATCATGAATGTGCTACTTGTGTGTCTTATATTCTGGCTAATATTTAGCATCATGGGAGTAAATTTGTTTGCTGGCAAGTTCTACGAGTGTGTTAACACCACAGATGGATCACGGTTCCCTACAAGTCAAGTTCAAAATCGCTCTGAGTGTTTTGCCCTCATGAATGTTAGTCAAAATGTGCGATGGAAAAACTTGAAAGTGAACTTTGATAACGTCGGACTCGGTTACCTATCTCTGCTTCAAGTTGTAAGTGACCCCTTTCATGAATGCTTGGTATTTAAATGCATATTGGGTAAAGGATATAAGTCATTCTTTAAATAATCTATTGATTAGAAGTTAAAGTACTGTGTGACTTTAAAAACAGAGTTGGTCTTTCCTAGAACATGTGCTTAACCTGAATTAAGCAGCATAGGTTTTTGTTGCATTTGGGAGTTATTAATCTATAATTGATATTTGTTGTCATTTGGACCCCCACTTTGTACCATCTGAATATTGCTTCAAAAATGAATTTTTGAACTTCCTGCTTTACACTGTAGAGAAATTAGAGGAACTTCCCACTGTCACAGAGAATCCTTAAGAAATGGAGAAAAAATGGTTCCTGCCTTATTCATAAAATTCTCCTCCACATTTGGAAAATTGAAAGTTCATGTGCAAAATGTGACAATTTGGAAATATTAGGACTAAGATGTAGAATGTGACTTGGGAATGTGTCCTTTTTAAAAAATATATAGCATCTTATATTAAATTGATATTTCGAAATACAGAAAAACTTACTAATCTATTATTAGTAAATGTGATAACATTAAACAGATAAAACTCTGTGGCTATTATGGGCTTCACATTCGGATTCTATAAATGTTCTATTTACAGGCAACCTTTAAGGGATGGATGGATATTATGTATGCAGCAGTTGATTCTGTTAATGTAAGTATTACTCATTATAACACCAAACCTTACAATTTTTACAAGCTCTTTAGTTTACGTCAGTGGTTTTCATGGAGCCCTTGGTATGTACACAAACAGTGAAGAACCTCCACCTGATAGGAGCCTGGTGGTTACGAGTGCAGCTGTTGGAGACGCACAGCCTGACTCAAATTCTGGCTGTACCACATAGTCCAAGCTCTGCAACTGACTTTGAGCAAATTACTTCACCTCTCTAAGACTTAGTTAATTCATCTGTAAAAGGATAATAATTCAGTGTCTATCTCACAGTGTTGTGAGAATCCAAGAAGAAAATGCAAGTACAGCACTTAGCAATACTAAGTGCTTAGTAAATA